CTTGCCCTAGGGTAAGAGGTAATATCCTGGAGCAGGGGGGTTGTACTTTGAATAACATTTGTAAATGTGAAGTCTGTCTGGCTCATCTTGCTTTTGATATTGCTTGTTGAAATGGTAGTCTTCTGCTTTGTGGTGATTTACTCTTTATAATTGCTAATGCTTTTTCTGTAAATCAAATATTAATTATGCAAACTAGAGGTCTATAACAAGGCATGTGTTATCCATTTTGTTTAATGGTTTAGCTAAGAGACAAAGCAGCTGCTTTCTGAGACAGAGGTAGAGCCAAAACATACGTATACTGTATTAGTCACATTTTATGAGTAATAAAATGTTTCATTACGAGTTGTATATGTTTAGAGAAGTTTCACGGAAGTATGAAGTGGAAACTTTTCAGTCTGAAGAGTTCTGGAAACAAAAAATACTTTTTAGAATTGTGTGTATGTGTGTGTGTGGAGATTTTTCAGACAAGTAATTCATGTATAAATGCTTCATTGAATGACTTGTTAGGCAATTTATTGAAAAATTTGTTTCACAATAAATATTTGTTTTGAGTGAGGTTCTGTGTCAGTTCTATAGATAACTTAGTAAATACTGTCCAGGTGTAGAATTTTCATCTGAACTACAAGCAGCAGTTTTCTGGATTTCTAATGTATTTCTTCCTCCCCCATCCTTTTCCTTATTATGTGTTTTTGGCAGTCAGTACAAATGGGAGCCAGATGACCAACTTTAAAATTTACAAAGTTGCTTTTTTGAGTCTTTAAAAAGTATGTAGCAATACAATCTACTTGGAATATATTCAGATTTACATTTCTCTTTCATTTTCATTACTTTTTTTTTTAGATAGCACTGTCGGCTAGAGTAATGTTGAGGATAAACAATGGACCTATTTGGTTAAGTTTTCTTGTAAGTGCTGCCTTGTTTAGAAACCAGATGTCAGTAGTAAATCTGCAAATTGTAGAGTGGCTACAGCCATTTGTTCTCTCAACTGTTTTCCAGTTTATAATCAGTTACCAATTTCTGAACTTATTAGGCTTTTATCAAAATGTTTTTTGTTTAGCTCATATGCAAATTAAACAGAGCCATAGTTTGGACTTGGAGCTTGCTCCAGGATAATGATTTTGCTCTAAGTATATAACTGAAATATAAAGGAAAGAGGCTTATTGAGCCTCTGGAAATTGGACTCTGAATCGCATTGGTTGCTGTTCTGCTGGAACAGTAAGAACAACAAAAGTTTTGAAATGGCTAGGTTGTTAAGGCTTTCTGCTGCAGTACATAGGAAATTTCAGTTGGAAGTACCGTGTGTGATAGAAAGGGCAGATTTGCTGAGGAAGGGACAAAAAAGCTGCAGTGTCAACACCATCTTACCATCCCTCATGGTTTCATGCACGCTTCAGAAGTCGTGACAGCAGCTCTGCTTTGTACCTACCTCTTCCCAGCTGCTACCCCTGCCAAACATCCACGTTAAGATTTCATCTGGCTCTGGGGCATCCAAGTTTTTCTGATGCTTAAATGTAATCAAAGGATAAATGTTCTAAGGGAAAAGTATTAAATATTGAAGCTGAAAGCATGATATTAAATATATTTTTATGTTCTTATGAGAATTTATCTTGTAAGTAATGAAATCCTAGATTTCACAGTTATGTACATGGAATACCTTGGGAATAGCTTAGTGTTTTCCTTATGTATGACAATTTTTAAAAATGAGGGAAAATTACTAGTTAAATGAGGCCTTGAAAATTTAGGAAGTCTTCATGCAAGAAAGCTCTTACTTGCTTTGATCTGGAAAAGGAGAAGAGGCTCTGTAATGTTAGAAGACTTTAGTAACAGCTTCTGCAGAAAACATTGTCAAAAGTCTGTGTTCATCAGTCACAAGATTTCAGTGGTATGCTTACCACAAAAACATTTTGTAATGTGTGTACTTACTGTTGTTATCCAAGCACTTATAAGAAACTCATGAATGCTTACTTACAAATACATTTGAAGAGTGATATGTTAAGTGATTACTTTGGCATGATGTCATCAAGGTTTACCTTACAGTATAGTTTTACTGTCACTTTAAACTGTCAGTGCCAAATAAAGTAGTAGTCCTGTGCCATATTTCATCTGCTTGTCATACCTTGTGCCAGGAAGAAAAAAAGTAGTAACAAATAATTTCAAATAAAAACTGTTTTTATCTGAACATGTAATATGCTCATATCAGCACAAGGAAGGGGATGGCACAAGTAGCTGCAAACAAGGAAGGATAGTATTGCTTCTTTTGGCAACAGTGCTGCTTTATTCTTGTTCAAAATGACTTGAAACAACCACAATATCCAGATAATACGGAATGAAAAGCATGGTTCATATGCATTGGCAATAGGGAAACTAACAGGAAGTATTCACCCTGGCAAGCAGAGAGTGCTTTCTAGGCGTTGCAATGCTTAGAAGTTTCATGTTATAGGTAGGTACCTGTTTCTTGGACTCTAGTTACAAGGATCTGTGTACTTAAAGTGGATTCTTTTCTGAAAACCTAAACAAGCTCTGTTGTTAATTAATTGAGCTCCAGTTTTTGAAGAGGGCCTTGATAATGTGTTTATGGTATGCTTTCTGATTTGTCAGGTGTGCCTTTTTTTTTACCCATGATATCTCATTTTCGCTGGGACTGACTTTCCCCACAGGATACTTTAACCTGATATGTTAGGCATTTTAAATGTCTATTTTACTAATTGTGTTGAAATGGAATCCTGGCTTAAATTTGAATGGTAGTAATTTCCCT